AATGCTAAATATAATAGCCAGTCATTCATCGGTTTAACAAATGTTTTTTGAGCAATCAGTAAGTGCCAGGCAGTATTCTAGGTTCCTGAGATTCAGCAATGAAGAAAACAAAGTCCTTGCCTCAAGGATTATATTCTAATGATCAAATAAAAGCATTTTGTGGCAATGAAGAAAAATTGACATGGTAAGGAGGATAGAGAGTGACATGGTGACCATATTATCCCCCACAGGGGGTCAGGGAAGACCTCTTGGATGAATAAAGTAACATTTGAGCAGAAACCCTAAGGAAGAGGGAGAACAATGTAAGTGGACAGTTTGGGAAAAATTCTCCAGGCAAAGGGAAGAACAAGAGCAGGCTCTGATGGAGGCATGTCCTTGGTGGGACCAAGAACAGTAAGAGGGCCCGTGTGATCAAAGTAGAGTGAGCAAGAGGGAGGGCAGGAGAAAATGGGGTCAGATAGGCAGCAGCATGCCAGGTCATCCAGAGCCTTGAGGCCGTGCTAAGGACTTTGGGTCTTACTCTGAGAAGGGATGCCATTACAGGTTTCAGTAAAGAAGAGCAGTCATCTCACATTATTTTTCGAGTTTACCTTGGGAGGCTCTCTGTAGATGGCAGGGGAGCAAGAATGGAAGCAGGAGACTGGTTTGGAGGTTCTGAAAATAGCTGTGTATCTTGGACCAAAATAGTAGCATTGGAGGCAATGAGAAGTGTTGGATTCTGGACACATTTTGAAGGAAGAAGCAAAAGGATTTACTACATGGATTGGATGTTGCATGTTGAAGAGAGAGAAAGATAGAGATAGAGCTAGACAGATAGATGAGAAAGAGAGCGAGAAAGCGAGAGCGAGAGAGGAGAGCGAGAGCGAGAGCGAGAGAGAGAGAGAGAGAGAGAGAGAAAGAGATAGAGCTAGACAGATAGATGAGAAAGAGAGCGAGAGATCGAGAGCGAGAGTGAGAGAGGAGAGAGAGGAGAGAGAGAGATTGAGATAAAGAGAGAGAGAGAGAGATTGAGAAAGAGATTTTCTCAAGGATGACTCCAAGGATTGTGACCTAAGTAAGAAACTGGAAGAGTGGAGTCACCATTTGCTGAACTGGGAAGACTACAGGAGAAGTGAGTTTGTGGAGACAAACAGGAATTCAGTCCAGCCATGTGAAGTTTGAGATACATCTAAACATCTGTGATGATTAATTTTATGTGTCCACTTAGGGGATGTTTTTGAATAAGATTAACATTTAGTGAACTTTGAGTGAAGCAAATTGCCCTCCATAATGGGGATAAGCCTCGTTCCATCAATCGAAGTCTCAAATAGAACAACAGCTGGCCTCCCCAAGCACTAGGGAACTCTCCAGAAGACTACCTGCAGACCTCACCAGCACCGTCAGCTCTCCTGGAGCTCCAGCCTGCCAGCACCCACTGCAATTTTTGGACTTTTCAGCCTCTACAAAGGTAAGCTGATTCCTATCTATCTATCTATCTATCTATCTATCTTCTTTTTTTTTTTTTTTAATTTATCTCTCCTAATGGTTCTCTTTTCTCTGGAGAAACCTAACACAACGACCAACTGGAAACAGTGAGAAGCAGCTGGACACATAAATCTGGAGTTCAGGGGTGAGGTCTACATACATAAATATGTAAGTCATCAATAATCAAATGGTAAGAGATGGGACCAGAGGATAAGGAGAGATTGAGAAGAGACGTACATGGTCCCAGGTCTCACTCTTGTGAAACTCCATTGTTTAGAAATTGGGAATATGAGAAGGAACCAGAAAAAGACTGAAAGGAACAGACAGTGAGGTAGGGTGAGAATGAAGAGTGAGGGTATTCCCAGAAGACAAGTAAAATAAAGTGTTAAAAGGAGGGACTGACCGATTAGCTGTTAAATGCTACTGACAGAATGTGAAAAAGGAGACATTGCCAATATGAGTTTGCTAAGTTTAATTAGCAAATATATAAAGTATACAAAGGAGACCCCTGCCATGATGATCAAATCTACAAATCAGTGGAAACTATCATTAAAGTCTCCCAGTGACTCTAATTCTCATCTTCCTACCAAAGAAACCCAGTGTTCCAATGCCTCTAGCTCTTACGCTATTCCCACAATACACTTTCATGATTTCTAGACCTCCACTGTTGCTCTGCCAATTATTACCTAAATGATGAGAGCTGGGAATTCTAACCTGTCTTTTTAAACATACTTTTGACTTACTAATACTTTTATTGCAACATATATGCATACATTTATTCAACAAAATTTAGTGCCTACCGTATGCTTCACACCGTGGTAGCCACTGGAGATGTGGTGAGAGAAAGTCTTGACTTTCAAGGAGTACCCTCATGGAGGAAACCAAAACAATTACTAACCACTATGAGAAGTGCAGGAGATACTCTGGGACAACAAAGGGGGTGGGGCACCTACCTGGGGGAAAGTGGGAGACCATTGAAAGATATTAACTAAGGGAGTAACATGATAACAATGCCAGGGCACCGGAGAGGAGGAAGAAAGGGGGCGGGAAAATGCTGTCGTGGTGGTAAGGACGGTAAAAATGGTGGAGGTTTGCAACAAGGCAGTGGAGCTGGGGAAGGAGAGAGAAGAGAGTCGCCCAGAAGGTAGAGTCCACGGACACAGTGACAGATGGGGGTAGAGGATCAGGGAGAAAGAGAAGTCTGGTCTAGTTGACCCGGTAGTCACTGACACCATACACATAATAGGTTTGGGGGACCGAGAAGGGAGGGGATGATGACTTTGGTTTGTGACTCTGCTGAGTTTGAGGTATAAGTATCTAGATGAAAATGTTCAATAGTCAATTGGATGCAGGTCTGAGACTCTAGAAAGGAGGTAGTTTAGATATAAACGTTTGGAATTAATCAGACTATAGACAGGTCGATTCTGATTGCACAGGAGTGTGTATAGACTGAGAAAAGAGGGGGCAGAGGACAGAACTTTGAAAAATTCCAATATTGAAGCCATGGCTAGAGAACCAGAAAGATGCCATGAACAAGGGGGCAGAGACAGGAAGCGAAGGCAAGAAAAAAGCAGTATCAACACCATTATGAGAAAGAAGTTTCTGAAAGAGAACAAGTCAATGGTTCCCATGCCACCGAGAGGTCAAGATAAGAATGGAAAGTTATTCCTGGGCTTTACATGAAGAGAATAATCTCACCAAAAATCGCCTAACAAATTAGTAATTTAAAGTTCCTGGCATGTATTTATTCCTATAACCGGATAACCATACTCCTTTTATTTATGATGTGTTTTTTGTTGTTGTTGTTTAAAAATTGTCCCATAAGCAAACCTATAATTATTTCAAAGTAAAAAGTTTTTGTTTTTGTTTTTAAGTAATCCTACAATAACAGTCCTTTTAAACAGATCCGGAAATGTTTATTTATTTATTTTTTTCCAGGAAGCCTCAAATGACCTAGAGCAGGGCTCAGAAACTTAAATATTCACAGGGGCCAGGCAAGTAAAATGAATGGGTAAAGAAATCCGAGTGTAGGAAAAACAGAAACAAAAACCCGGAGAACACAGGTCCTTTCTAAAAGGAACAGCCACAACCAATTCCCACTACAAAGACATATGGCTGGTCTTGACAGGTGACCTGGTATTTCAAGAAAAGGCAGAGATCTGAATTTTTAAATACGAAGTCTTCCGATTTTAAAACGTAGCAGATTTATTTAAATGTTTTTCAAAATACTTTGTGAACTTAATATTTCAGTAGGTCTCAGATGGCTCATGGACTATCAGTTTTTGACCTTTGCCCTAAAGTATGTGCAAATATAGCATTTTAATTTTATACCTTCAGGGAAATTAAGTGACAAATAATAAAGGCTCATGAGCAGTAATAAAGCCAGATCTAGACTCTAGTCTTTCCTGTTCTTAAACTAGTATTTCCTTCTCTGTGATTCTACAGCTTTTTATCTAACAAAGGAAATATACACCCAGGTTAGTCAGACATTCAAGTTAATAATCACAACATGCTGTAATAAATTCAGGAAAGATGGCATAACCTTAATTAATCCAGATGCTCTGGCTCTTCTGAAGTGTTTTTAGGACATAATTGTAAGTGATCTTTAAACAAAATTATAATTTAGCTAAACAAATAAATGTAAAGTTTAAAAAATAACATGTAGATCTTTTTAATTTCTAGAGAAAATTTAAAATATTGCAGGGCTGGTAGAAAACTGGACTTCGATTCTTAAGACTTTGTTTAGTTATACTACAGACTACACTCATCCATTCGTTCAACATATACTATGAACCCAGTTTCCTGTTAAGTAAAGGCAGATTCGCTAGCTCTCTGAAGTGTGAGGATATACATTCGAATTATTTCAATGAATGAAACATGGAGGTAAGTGCTACAGTAGCACAGGAGGTTGGAGCTAGCACAGCTAATTATGTTCTTTGATGTTAACAGCCCTCTGGAGGAGGTGTTATGAGGCTGATTTTGCGAGTACCTGATAAGTCTGCCATAGAGCCAGAAGGCACGTGTTCTGATTGCAGTTCCACCTAAGAGTCTGTGAACAGAAAAGGAATCGTTTTTCTCTGTTCCTCATCTAAAGCGTTACTGTACTCCTCCGTAAAGCAACTTTTCCCTGTAAAGTCCTAACACGTTAGTCATGTCCTGTGATCTAAGCCACCTCAACTCAATTACAGACGACTTGTCATGTTTTATTTTCCTTCTGGGAGTTGCAAACTAATTTGAACTTGAAAGACATCTCCGGTGCGAGGAGAGGCAAATTTCGCTGGTTAGGAGCAGCAAAATCAATTTGGCGCCATGCTTTGACATGGCAGTTTAAGTCACAGCAAGACTAGGACGCGGCCTAAAGGTGTCACCGGGCGCCGCTAAAACTAAGCTCGGGCGAACGAAATCGGACTAGGGACAGGGCCCGCGTCTCCTGAGTGAAATGGTATTTATAGTTAGGGCCGGGAGAAGCCAAAGCCGACAACAGCTGCGCTGCAGCACGGTGCCACCGCCATGCAAGCAGGTCTCACACCGCTCACCTTCACAGTCCGCCCCCGGCTGCCCCCCGGCCTCCTGGCCCTGCGCCCGCACCGGGTTGGACACCCAAAGCCCGGCGCAAATGACCACCATAGCGGCTGGGCTCGTGCACCGCATACTGAGCCAGCAGCACCAAACTCCTCCGCCACCGGCGTCCACCGCCAGCCGCACTGCTATCGCCAGGGGCTGCTACAGCACGCCGCAGAGCTGAGCGAGCCCCGAGTTGCTAGGGCAAATGACGCAATTCAACCCGAAGTTTCCATTGGCTCTCACGAGACGGGCAAAGAACGGGGCGGGGCGAAGGGGCCCTTTCCTTTCCTTCTCTGGCTGGCGCGTGCGCGCTATCGCACACGCGGTGTCGCTCCAGCGGGGCTGGGAGAGAAGCACTAAAGCTATTCGCTGACTGCTCGTGAGGTAGGCGGGACCTTCACGCTGATTGGCGGCGCCGCGGGAGGCCGCGGCGTTTGGACCGGACGCAGTGGGCGGGCGGGAACGTGAAGTCTCCGCGGTGCCTGATGGAGCTGTAGGGAGCCTGAGACCTGCAGCCCTCGGAGGACCGCTCTTTACTACTGCTGCCGTCTCTGCCGCCTCATGGCGGCCATCGGAGTTCACCTGGGCTGCACATCAGCCTGTGTGGCCATCTATAAGGTGAGGGAATGGAAGGTTGGGGCTAGGGCCTAATGTCAGCCACCTCGTTCTCTGAATGCGGCCAAGTCCTTTGGTCACCTACTGGGTTGTGAACGGCGTGTCGCCAGCCTAGGATCGTCGCACAGAGAGGCGTTTCTGCAGGGGAGTTTCGAGGCAGAGGGCCTAGCGGAACCGGCCTCGTCCCCTGGAAATATGAGAGCTTGGCAAGGAGTTGTGGCCTTCATCTCGTCAATGGGGAGGCAGAAGGAACAATAATAGTGAACTCCCCTGATAACGCGTCTCGCGTTTAAATGTCAAATGATTTGTAAGGAAAAGCCAGAAGGATTAATGCTACTACATCCTATGTAGAAAAGGGAAGAAAGATGTATTTTGTGCGGGAAGAAAGAAGTAGAGTGGTATAAGACTATGTATATAGAAAGATTGTTACTATGTTTGTTCCAATTATCTACTACGCAGAGAAGACCGAAAAAAATGAAGCAGTTCTTTATGGAATGTTGGCCTTATATAAAATCTAGAAAATCAGTACCAGCAGTTAAATCTACAAGTTGAAAATATTGATAGAGCAATTTTCCTATCCATATATATGGCAAATTAAAACTGGGCCACATTGTCTGAATATGTCTAATGAGATTACGTATTTCTCAAGAGAATTGATATAGTTGTGTATTTTTCACCAGGATGGCCGGGCTGATGTGGTTGCAAATGATGCAGGTGACAGAGTTACTCCAGCTGTTGTTGCTTACTCAGAAAATGAAGAGGTACTATTCCCCCTCATTTTTGTACTTCGAAATAAGTAAAAATTACACACATTGTAATATATTTCTCTTTTTCAGGTTGTTGGATTGGCCGCAAAGCAAAGTAGAATAAGAAATATTTCAAATACAGTAATGAAAGTAAAGCAGATCCTTGGCAGAAGGTATGAAGTAAAATAATACTTTTACGTATGGTGATTAAAATGTGTTTATCCATTCTAAATGGAATGTGAAATGATACTAGAAATACCATTTGCTTTTTTGTTTTTTTACGACTGAGTCATTTTAAAGAATACCCCAGTAGGCTGTTTCTTTTGATGATTAGTATTGAATCTTCTCAAAGATGGGATTCTCTCAGACATTTGTTTCTTGCTGACAGGTCTGTTAGTATTGATAAATGTCAACATTTCTTTAGTTTTTACAGTTTGTGTCATTCACAGGTGGTAATTTGGACTTTTCACATTTTTGTATTTTTCAACTGAGGTAACTTGAAAGATATTGTGGGAATTTGACAACTTCTTTGCTCTATAGTTGAATTTTGCAAAATCTTCTACATTTTGTCATAATTTAGGTAGATGCTATCGGTTTTCTTCCTTGGGTCTTTTTGTGACATTTTCTGAGAACTATTCCTGTGGCTTGGCTTAAAATTTAATCATTAGAGAAACAGATTCATTAACATCTTAAGTACGAATCAGGTTAATCATCCGTTGGAACTTTAATTAAAAAATTAAAGAGGCTTGCTTCCCCAGACTCCTGTCTCCTCAAATTATAGATTACCATAGTAATTAGGGGTTTTTATTTTCATTGGAGTAGTAATACTTGATATAGTGTTTTTAAATTTTCAAGAGTGCTTTCACATCTATTATTTTATTTAATCCTCTCAAATTCCTGTAAGATTGGTAAGGCAGGTTTTATCCTTCCCCACTTATAGATGAGAAAATCAAGGCACATAGAAGTTATGGTATTCCTAAATTAGTTCAGGATTTTCAACCCTTAGCTCAGATTGTTTCCTTTCTACATTGTTCAGTTGAGAATTTAAGTAGAAATTTTCTTAGCTTGATCTTAGGATTTGGGGATTGTAGATTAAATTTAATATTTTTTTATACGTATAGATATTTTTTATTATCTCTTATCTGTGTTTAAATTGAACTTGACATTTTTTTTTCTTAGACTACCTTTGCAGTAAGCCAAAAACTATGGTGTTTTGGAGAGAATTCCAGTTTTTGTGATGATGATAAATTAGTTGGTTTCAAATTTTTTTAAAATATAAATTCTGAAAAAGTTGTAGATATATGTTGAATTTAGATTCACTATAAGCAGCCAGCAATATGTCGTTTTAATTATACTTTTTATCTTGAGGTAATTGTACATACTGTTAGAAATAATTAAAAGAGATCCGATATATTACTGGATTTGCCACTTTCTCCCAGCGGTAACTTCTCTCAAAACTATAGTATAATATCACACCCAAATACTGACATCGATACAATCAAGATAAATCTGTCAATCATAGATCTATCCCCTAGTAGTCCTGTTTGTTTTATGCTGCTGTTTGGGGGCAGACAGTTGCAGTAATGATGTGGTTTTCTTCCATACTATGCAAAAAGCTTTATATTAACAGGAATAACTTAAGCTTACTTGTCTGACTCTGAAAGTTACCTTTCAACAAAAGAGTGCACGGGTGACAGTCAGATGGGTAATACATAGCCACGGCATGCTGCTTAGGCCGAGGTTAGTTAAAGGACGAGCGTCCTGCAGACAAACTGCCGTACCACGGTCCTGCTAGCACTTCTCCAGAGCGAGCTGCCTCATGCTCCAGGTATTTTCCGCCTTGGTCTGTCTACTTACAAGACAATTGATTTTTACAGACACAGAGTTGAACCAGGTATCAGCCTCGGAAGCATTCTGGCTTTTGTGGAGGAGCCAGTCCCCTTGTTATCAAGCCAGTAAGGCCCATTTCAGCCCCTGACCCAGTGTCCTGCCTGTTTGCAGCCTACTTACAGGTAGCACCGTTTAACTTGCTGCCGCAATTATCCCTACACCATCCCTGTAACTCTCATTCCCCTGTGGCCTTCCAGCCAGAAATTCGGTCCTTGGACCTGGCTCCTCAGCAATTAGCCCTGAGAGGGAAGAATCGGCTGGCTCCTGGAAACACTGAGGGCACCCAGAGCTTCCCCACACCTTCAGATTTGCACCTTGCCGCCCAGGAGCTTCCCGCACTAGCCTTCCTTCCCCGTCCACTATGGCCAGTTCCAGTAGCAGTGCGGGCATCCGGTGGTCCAGACAGGAGACACGAACTCTTCTCTCCATCCTGGGAGAGGCAGAGTATATCCAGCGCCTCCAGACTGTGCACCACAATGCCGATGTCTATCAGGCCGTGTCTAAGCGGATGCAGCAGGAAGGCTTCCGCCGCACTGAGCGCCAGTGCCGCTCCAAGTTTAAAGTTCTGAAGGCGTTGTATTTGAAGGCGTACGTCGCCCATGCCACAAGCATGGGCGATCCACCACACTGCCCATTTTACGAGACGTTGGATCAGCTTCTCCGAAATCAGATAGTGACTGACCCAGACAACTTAATGGAAGATACTGCTTGGGCCAAGCACTCTGATCAGAACCTAGTGGCCTCTGACACCCCAGGGAAA